ATAGAGAATGTGCTGTACATTTCAAACATACTGAAATTTTAAATATGTTAAATGTTATGATACTTTATACGCTGACGACACCTTGCTTGTCGCAGATAATCCTGCTGACAGGCAACTTACTTTTGATGTTTGGTAGATATTACACTAAATGGAAGCAATTAACCCATAGAAAATTGAAAGTATAGTATTTGGTTAAAAAAGAAGCATACATTTAAAGTTAAGATAATCAATGCCGTTATTAATGTTGTAGGTGAATATAAGTTTTTAGGTCTTGTATTTCACTAAATTGTAAAGTTCTTCAACGGCCTCAATAATCTAGTATTTGTATGCAAGTAAAAGTATGCTTTACTTCAAAAGCGCATGCAAAATTTTAGATTTGCTTATTGATTGTGAACTCAAACTGTTCAATCAAACCCTTGTACCTATTTTAACATATGTTTGTAAAACTTGGACATTTGTAAAATCTGATATAGTCGAAAAAACTCATCTCTCTTTCCTCAGAAAGTACATTGAATGTCAAACCTTGAACTACTCTACATATTCGACGAACTTGTTCGTTTCCCTTTAATTAATTATCAACATTAAAAGTCGCACGATAAACTAATGGGCTAAGTTGGTTAGCAGTTATCAAGAAAAATATTTTAGCATATTTATTCGTTTTTATACAAACACGTTGTTGATAATTCGTATGCTAATAAATGGTTATTTGAAGTAAAATTTAATTAGATGATGTTAGCTTTAGTTACATATGGAGAAATCAAAGTTTTGTGTCGGCTAAATGTTTAACAATTTAATCAGTTAAATGGTAAAAAAAAATATAACAACAACTAACTAAAAGACCAATACATATACAAGCTTGGGCAGCTAGTATCAATACGTCATCTAAAGGGGTAATTACAAATTATTTAAAATTAATCAATACGTCATTTAAAGGGGTAATTACAATTTATTTAAAACTAATCAATACGTCATCTAAAGGGGTAATTACAAGTCATTTAAAACTAATCAATACGTCATCTAAAGGGGTAATTACAAGTTATTTGAAACTAATCAATACGTCATCTAAAGGGGTAATTACAAGTTATTTAAAACTAATCAATACGTCATCTAAAGGTGCAATTACAAGTTATTGAAAACTAATCAAAACGTCATCTAAAGGGGTAATTACAAGTTATTTAAAACTAATCAATACGTCATCTAAAGGGGTAATTACAAGTTATTTAAAACTAGCTTGGATTTAGAAAAGAGCTGTTTCTCACTACCATAAAATATATCTAAAAATTGAATTAAGTTTAGAACTGCAAATCATAGGATCCCTGTGGAAACTGGTTGGAGGGTTAATGTTCCCAATTATGAAAGATATTGCACACTATGTCAGTCTCAAGAAATAGGGGATAAATATCGTTATTTTCTGTCGTGTTCTTATTTTCATGATCCAAGATAAAACTTTATACTTCATTTTTACACTTACATGATTAACGTTCATAAATATAACCATTTAATGAATACAGGTAATGTACGACTACATGTTCTTAGACTGCGTTTTCCAGCTCTTGTAACCCTGTTGTGCATCATGTAATATCATCAAACGCTATAATGTCATGTTCTTTTTCTTATATACTTCATCCGTTGTAACCTTTACATCCTGAGTGTAATACAGTTACATCCTGAGTGTAATACAGTCTTGTATTGTCTTGTCTTGTACTGTATTGTTTTGTCCTGTCTTAATTTCATTCTAACTGTACAACTAACATACTTGAAAAAGAGTAAAAGAGGATTGTGCAATTTAAATACAAAACAGCATTTGTGTTTTGTTCCCAGGCGGGGATGGAGAAAAGACATTTGATACATCGGGTCCTGGTGGTTTTGCGTATGCCTGCACCATATCGAAATCGTTCTTTTCGCTGATTCGGAATAAAACACGTATGTAACTTTGTGCCTGTATAGCCTAAACGTATAAAATATGTAAGTTTAACATTTCCTCAAAAAACTTAATGAGGTTTGGGTGGAAGGAGTGAACGAAAAATGGGAATAAAGATAATTGGCATCAGTCCTTGGGATAAAGAACTCGACAAATAACTCGCTACACAGGTTGATAGAGGCACTAAGCGCCCACCCACTCACCAACAATTGAGCGCGAATCAAGTAGGAGCTCCACAGGACTTCTAGCGCGCGCGCGCACACACACACACACACACACACACACACACACACACACACACACGATATTTCTGGATGCACCACAAAAATACCCTACCTCACCTTCCCTGATAGGCACAAATCAAGAAAAATCATAAGGTGGCGCTCACCAGTTATTATGTACTTTTGAGAGAGTGATGTATGTAAGGTGAAGTTGTTTGCATTTTAAACATGCACAGTGGAGAGAATGTTGGCATACCTATATACTACTTTTATGTAATGTGGATGAAATTTCTTTGGATATTGTACTTTTGGAAATTTTAAATGATCTTAGGACACTGCTAACTAAAATGACTGCTCCCTTGTGCTCCAAAAATCAACCTAAATTTGTCTAAAGTACACTATTCTTGGCAGCTATTAAAATATGGAAAATGAATTTTGCCAAACTAGATAATACCAGCTTCTAAAAGTGCAATGACTGAATTACTAAATACATAAAATGTAAAAAAAAAAAGTTATCGGCTCTTTTTTTTTTACAATTTACCTCTGAAGTTCGAGAAGTGAAAATAAGCAAGTAGAGCTAGCACTTTTTTGAAAGATGCACATCTGGAGTAAGGCCAAGCTGTATACTCTCTAACCCATATTACACCCATCAATCATACATCAAAATAAAGGGAATTAAAGGTTCTTTGAACAACACCTAGAATATACAAAGTCTCTTTTAAATAACCAGTATAACTAGTGAGGCAACCCGGGGAAACTCTTTGTCTTTAAAATTTTAATGCTAAATACGAAACTGTAGAGCGCCACCTAAAAGGAGAGTAAAAAGTAAGACGTACCTACGTCTACACAGCACCCCCTCTCTCTCTCTCTCTCTCTCTCTCTCTCTCTATATATATATATATATATATATATATATATATATATATATATATATATATATATATATATATATATATATATATGCTTTCTTTTTGCATTCATCCTTGTGCTTTGGGGATGGGATGTTGTGGATCATACCTTAATTTATTTAGCTCTTTATAACCGGAGCTGCGCTGAAGTGCCGTCAAGCCCTATACAGTATACCAAAAGTCAGTGTCGTCACTAGGGTTGGTGTCACCCAGTACAGTAACTCATGGTGTCATCCCCTATGGACCTCTACCTGCACAAAGTTCAAATATTTTATAGACAGCCACGTACGGTAACTCATGGCGTCACCTCGATTGACCTCCTTCCTGCACAAAAATTCAAAAATTTTATAGACACTGACAGTCATTTTAGTGTCACCTCTCTGATGGTGTCACTCGGTGCGGTCCGCACCCCCTTAGTGACGCCATTGACACATGTATAATTTCTTCTGGGCAACTTTTCCCTACAACCATTTTCCCTGTACCTCGAACGTCTGCGACTCACCTGACCTGCCCAAGTAAAAAGGATAAGAAGCCGAATGTGTACTAGCAACGTACATTTAACAACCTCTACATAAAATAAAATTTTAAAAACAGCGCATGTAAACAGCACAAATTTAGTATTAATGAGAGAGAGAGAGAGAGAGAGAGAGAGAGAGAGAGAGAGAGAGAGAGAGAGAGAGAGAGAGAGAGAGAGAGTTTAGTATTAATGAAAGAGAGAGAGAGTGGCACTTCTTTTATAGAGGTATGTTTTCCCCTCCCCCCCAATGAATAATCGTCTTCATTTGTTTCAGACCATGCCTCGAGTAATTAACTATACGAATATTTTTTCACCTTCGTGTTTGTTTTGATTTGTTTCCTTATTTTTGTATTTTTTAAATCAAATAACTGTTAATGACGGAAAGAATTAGAAGCGTTTAACAACATTTTCTTGGAGATATCTTTGGATTGGGAAAATTTATATTCGTAATCCCAATGTTACGAATATATTCTCTGCCTAGTGAACACGTAAACAAATCTTCTCTTAGGCGGTTTAAACCACTCTACGCTTGTAGTAGCTTTGAGGTATCCTATTCAATTCATTGACTGGTCTTATAACTAGGCCAAATGTAGTATCGCGAGGGACGGTCATAGGTGTAATAGAAACGAATTAGTAACGAACCAATACGTATGCATGTACTTTTACCATTCTGCGGAGGGAAGTTGATAGCCACACGTGATAGGGGCACGGCAAGTCCATCGCTGCTGTATTAGATAAGTGTTATTTCGACATTTTTAAAAATGGAAATTTTGCTGACTAATTATTCAGGGCAATATGTTCTTGAACTGGAGAAATCGTAAAGGTACCACATGACGATGCGTTGAAGAATGTTCTGGTACTCGCTGGAAAAGACCTGCCACAGACGATTTTCGTTCCTTTTTTTCCCCCGCTGAATATTCACTAGGGGCATTATTCGGAGTGCGCAAGTGCCATCTTTTATGACACTTTGTCATTGAGATAAAAATGTGTGCATACCAGCAGTAAGAAGCAGATCTGTCACCGACATGTTTGCATTTGTTTTTCAAAGGATTTTACTGGATTTAGGATAAATATATCAGGGAAAAGTTTCCAAGTGAAATTGTGTGGATCACACAGTTCTAAGACGGTATGTCCTACCTAATTGTGTATTTATTCAAAGTTCCTTTTTTTGCCAACATGGTCAGTTTCACAAATTTATGTGATGTGATTTGGATTTTTAACGTAGCTTTCACAATTTTTCATTCATATCGCTACGACATCTGCTGTGTGTCAGTTTATAGTGATGTCTAGCACTGGGGCATCATCCCGCAGACATGTAGCATGATGTCCCACCCAGTCATATTATCCTGACACCAGGCAGACCAGTCCTAACACTAACCTCTTAATGATGAGCGTCAAGCGAGGCAGCTCTTAGTACCATTGATTTAAGTCTTTGGTATGACTCGGCCGGGGATCGAACCCACGACCTCCCGCATCCGAGGCAGACGCTCTAACCACTAGGCCACAAATTCCTTGTTCGTCGGTAAATATGGAGCGTTAATTGGCATCATTGAGTACACGCGACATATTTATCGTGATGAAAATAATGTTCAAGCTACTTCTATCGTCTAAGTTCACACTACAGTCTGCACACATAACACGTGTGTGGCATAATGGCGCTTTAAGTTTATCTAAAGATGACCTGTTAATCCATAATGTGTTCAGTAGCTTTCGAGTAATATTAATATTTCAGATCCAAGCGATACTATTTTATAATACATATTGTCGTTTATCATTCAAAAAAGTTGATTTAAATAAAGTATTTATTAGTATACATGTTGTAAAAAGTTTTTATTGTTTACGCGAAATATGCTTTTGAAGCCGCGGCTATTAAGTTTTACGGCTTTAGACCGAAACATTTTAGAGGTGAAATCGAGGGATGTGGTTCCCCCCTCCTCTATGTTTTGGGTGCCCATGTTTTCAATTTAAGACACTCCTGTAAGTTATCACTCACCTTGGACAGCAGATTCATCTAATTACAAAATTAATTTGTCTTTTTCAGATAAATGAATGGCCATTCCGAGTACATTTATGAGTGGTCTACCCGTCGGAGAACACTTAAAATAAAAACCCAACCCAAAACCCACCAAAATTTAATCTTTGGCCCCACCTCATCCCTCCAAAAGTGCTTAGGGCGAATAACCAAAAAGAAACAAAGAACATTTAGATGCAGTAACAGACCGAAGAATATTGTTTATGCTGTCATTCACGAAAATAATTGAAACCACATTTATTGTACATTGTAAAGCAGGGACGAGCAAAGTACGGCTCCGGCCCATGACTTGGTTTATCCATTAATTTATATGATACGGTTTGGCTTTAAATATTATTTATTCGGCATGCGCCCGCTAGGAAGTTGCCATTGTCTGTTCTAAAGGAAGATGAAATAGAAATTTGAAAAGGTGTCAGTAACTTATGATACCTAATTTGTATAGTTTAAGTGAAGATGAAATAATAATTTAATAGGTATTATTAAGTTGTGGAGGTGAGTATGATATATATATATATATATATATATATATATATATATATATATATATATATATATATATATATATATATATATATATATATATATATACACATGGGAGAAACAAACATGCCAGATTCAACAAAACGAGTGTTAAAAAAACCCAGAAAAAAAAGTGTTTAAAAAAGCACCCCCCAAAAAAACCAAACAGAAGAAAACACGACGAAGTAGCAAATATACGAAGCAGTATAATAACAACAATCTATCCGATATATCATCACTTGAACAAAGACTGATGTGAGGAAAATAATGTACAAATTACCTTGACAAAGATTTCGCTCGAGTGCACTTACTAATAGTTTTAGTGCTCTTGAAAAATATGTCGTAAATAAATAAAAAAGACATAAAAAGTTACTATTGAAAATGTTGTATATTATCCAGAGGGGTTTATTGATATACTACGTAAATGATAACGCGTTTGACGATGATACACTTTATTAAGGGACAAGTTTGATTTATCGCAAGTATTATTTTCAACACCATATATTTAGTAAATATTAATTATAGTAATTTAGTTTATAACGTTTATTTCAGTTCGTTTTCTTTTTTAATTTCAAACCACCTGCGGCCAGTGTGGTTTCCACAACATAGTTTGAATTGGACCTTATATTCCTTACTTATACTAAACGCACAAACCTATTGATTTTCGAGTTGATAGAGGTTAAGGGTCTGTGTCATTTGAAGCTGATAAATGTGATCTTCTTTTCGGCACAAATCAAATTTCCAAGGCCTCGTGTTCATCTGATTAGAGAGGTTGAACATGTTTGGACAGGGCAGCTCCCTATTGAAATTGAGTATGGGGTGAAGGTCAAGGTCATTAGTGCCGATCCATTACCATCGAAATTAATAAATAGTCTACACTCGAGCAAAGACACTTCCCTGATGAATATATTGGTACTGGTGTCAAGGTCGCAGGAGTTAAAATTGTTGTTTTAGGTTCCACGTGATAAATCAACGTTCTTCGTGTTGAATTTGAATTGTTTTATTTGTTGTGTTTAGTTTGGGTTGATCCGTTCAGTGAACATCACTGTAATGGACCCCAACGAAATTTGCACAACCAAACCAAAACAAAGTTACCAGCATCTCTCTTTTTTAAATTAAAACCACAAACACCAGTAAGTTTCCGCCATGCTCCATTAAAACCATCCGTCCGCACACCAGCTCCAGCCAAATGGACTGATTAACGCTTATAATTAGTCATATCCCAGAGTTTTAACTCGTAGTTACAGCGATATAGGCAAAAACACTGTGAAATTAAGACAGATATACGTCATGAGATTGACAGACAAACGTGCGAGACAAGTTGTGAAAAAGCACAATTTAAAAATCGACCAACAAAGAATAAATGTACAAAGGATTGTGTGGATCCTTTAATATAATGTTTATTGGAAAAAAGAATACATTACGTTTATATTTTGGAAAGCAATATGTATTGAATCCTCATTGGTCCTTAATTGAAAACAGTAGTAACCAATCAGCGACACACCGATATTAGCATTGCAACAGTGGTGGTTTTATGTTTTTCCGTCACGCAGCTAGGCTGTCGATGTGTTGTTTTTTAAAGTGTATCTCCTTTGCGTCAATCATTTTTCACGTTGACAGGTAAGGGGCTTGTCGATCATTTTGTCTGTACGTCGATAATTTTGGCAGTCCATCGCTAATTTGGTACCGTTACCAACAGATGCATGTGTATATGCAGACGAAATAACATTATCTACTTGTTCTTCATTCTAAGTGGAGGGATTTATATTTTTGCATTATTGTTTTAGAAAGATTTTCAATTTAAAATAATCCTATCTTTGTATATGCAAACAAAAATTAGATTACCTGTACTGCAAGTCACTTCTTTGTTCCGTACATACTTGATTCGCTACTGATTAACAACTACACAAATTTGACTTACCTAAATACCATAAGCTACCTAAATGTTCACCAACCAACAGATAGACAGACACACTTCGAGATGTCTGATTGCAGGTAAACGTGATTGGTGGGTGGATAGTTAAGCATGTAGGTGATTTGGTAAATACACATATACGATGGTCTCGTGCTGTAGAACTTCACTATTTTATTTTCTCGATTGTGACAAATGATATCTCAGGCCACAAAGATATCAGTAAAGAACACTTTTTTATAATGAACATTTTCGGATCAAAGTGTGATCTTAATATTGAGGGAGTGGTTAAAATAAATGCGTAAAGTAGTCAATAAATGTCAGCAACGAATATGCTTTTCGAGATATCTTTGATTATAAATTATTCCACAAGTTAAAACTTTGATGAATTTGATATAAGAATGATAGGTTGAATTTTGGCACGTAAATATGTATCAACACGCTAATTGGAATATGACTAAATCAAACGTGGCATAGTAAATCATTGCATGCACGAGGAAAGAATCCATTTATTCAGGATAGATTGAGGAAAGAAAATGTTCGTTGCTTGGGTTTTTTGCTTGTTTTACTTTTACAGCGTCCACATACACACACTATATGTGTATATATATATATATATATATATATATATATATATATATATATATATATATATATATATATATATGTGTGTGTGTGTGTGTGTGTGTGTGTGTGAATGTGTGTGTATGTGTGTGACAAGAAATCAGTTTAATAAAATGAAAAAGTATATTAACAATTTATTTTCACTAAAACAAAATAAAATTCACTAGCGTGAAAAAGTTAACTATACTATTTATCGAGTCTTCCTTTTATTTATCTGAAAAGTAAAATCCTCTCAGATTGAGTTTAATACAAATAAAAAGAAATTAACCTTATTCAAGGGTGATGACGCAAAGAACAGGCACGTACATGGATGCAAAAGGTATCGTTCTGTCTAGCTTACGCTTAGGCGGGTTTGACACAAAATTGCCAGTTTTGATTTTTTTTTTGTCATATAATGTCGGAATTCAGCGAAAAAATGATATAAATTACGCTTTACTTCCCTTTACAACCAAACAACCCTATTTATGATTTAGCAAGACACTCGACCGTGGACAGAAAAATAAAAGAAACTTGGCATGACCTACAGATACATTTAAAGTTTAATACAATTACCACGTTTATTTTCCCTCCAATTCCATCCAATTATGGTACAAATTGCTTTCCTAAAAGCAATTTACATCTAAAACATATTTGGCAGATTATGAACAACGTTTAAACGGAAAAAGTACTATTAACAATGAGATGACTGAACGGATGGCGATAACACCTTTTGGTTGGATGCTTTTATATATACGAGTTTTAACGTGTTTTACACAGAATTGTTTTTTGTTCACAGCCCGGTATGTTCCTGCGAGAGTCATCAAAGGTAATCTTACACCAGTACCTGTATAGGCTTCACTAGAAGGCTAGACAGAAACCTTGAAGAAGAGTACGGACTCAATGAATCGGCCATTATGTTACGTTATTAGCATTGCACTTTGTGAAAATGTTGCATGAAGTCAATTTCGGCTACCAAAATGTCATAGAGCTGATGTCGATAGAGTTGGACAATCATCTGGAGGATTCAGAACAAGCGTTTGTTTCAATACAAGCAAATCCCAACTGTTGGCGTTACAAAGCACAAGAGAGATAAACATCTTGTGCGTGTGACGCTAACATTTATGAGTTGCCATAGCATCAAAAGAAATTCACGTCACAACGCTAATGATAGTGGACGGTGATAGACTGAAGATGGCAACATCAGTTTTGTCATGAACAGTTAGAAGGAATGTTTTGTTGCACACATATGTAAATGTGCATTAAGCCAATATTTGAGTGATAACCCCAAAAGCAGGAAGGGTCGAGGTACTGATTGACAAATTGTCAAGTTCTACAGTTTTACCGTTACCCACCATTCAGTTACAGTTTTTTTTTTCAACTTTTCAATGGACCCGTTCAGACCAGTATTTTCCTTGCGTGTCTTTTTCGCAGATGGAACTCTTCAG